GCCTCGCATATGCTAGGCGAGCACTCTACCGCTGAGCCACAACCCCAACCCCAGGACACACTTTTGCTGTTTTATAAGACCGTACCTTTTTGAGGAGGGACGCCACTCCGGCAGAGGGAGCCCCTCCTGGCCAGGCAGCCCTGGCTCTTTCAGACTTATCTTAATCCATGCACGGTATCAGCCATCGATCATTGATCATCGAGCAGTGAACTGCCCCCATCTGTGCAGAGAGAGGGCTGGGGAGGCCCTGCTGGGGGAGATGAAGTTATCAGTTCTTTTGTTCATGGCTCCTCAGCGTTTGATGCCCGAATGGCCTGAGCGTTCACTCAGCTGCCCCTCAGACTTCTTGGCTGAGGCCCAGGCTCCAGAGAGGAGAGACTCGGTGCAGGGGAGTGCACAACAGCCACTCCCACCCCCACTGCCTCTGGCGCACCCAACACCAGGTCTTCTCTAGAACTATAAAGCCGATCAGTGAGTTAGGTGCTCCAAAGCCCCCTGCGTCCCTACTCAGGCTGGCTCACATCTTACAGGGATTCTTCTGATTTCCAGCCAGACACACCCACACTAGCAGTGGTTGGAATCCTATTAATAATTCCAAAATGATTTTTTTCCCTTAGATAAATCAAGTAGGAGTAGAACTGAAGAGACTACCTAAATCCAGACAGAGCCCACATTTGTTAGGAGTGTGGAATGGAGAAAGGGGCACCAAGGAACACAGGGATTCTCATTTCATCTCCACCCTTAAGCTAGCTGTGCGATCTTGGGCAAAGAAATCAACCTCTCAAGTTTTGCTTTTCTCAGTAAAAACTGGGAGTGTTAGATATCCCTAAGCTTGTTTTTACTGGGCCGGTTTCTGGTTCTACCTTTAGTGGCACTGTGGCCAGTATTTTAGATCCTAAATAAATGTCTGTTGAGTTGAGTGGGAGTGTTTGAAATTGGCAGTAGTTTGCAGGACACCCTTGTAGGAATTTCCCAGGCACATGGAGGCCTGGAGTGCACCAAGCCTGCAGGGAACCTGTGTGGCATCACAAGGGACAGGAGCAAAGGAGTAGGGAAGTTGACTCTGAGGCCACAGAGCTGTGGGGGGCATTGTGCAGGAACCACATGGTGGGTGGGCACCTGGGCTGAGCCCTGCTGCAGCTCCTTCCTGAAAGTGGTCCCGGCTGCTGCAGGTGTCACTCCCTCCTTCCACGCCAGCTTCTCTGCAGCCACAGGGGCAGACACCACTGGGTTCTTGCAGTGGACTCCTCCCTGCAGCCCCTCTTCTGGCACAGACAGGGCTGGGGGTGGGAGCCACCCCTTCCTCCTCAGAACAATCAGGCCTGCAGGTGCTTCAAGGATGCCTCCTCTGGCTCTCCGTCCTCTCCAGTGTCTAGTTTTCAATTTCCACCTCTTTCATTTCCTTGGCCGTGCTCCAGTTGATTCTGAATTCTCTATCAACCTCATCATCTCATCAAGGAAGCGATTGCTGAACATCCTCCTTGTAACTAATTGAGAGGACGTAAGGAAAGAACAAAGTGAGGTGTTTGTCCCCATAGTGAGAAGACTCAGAAGTGATGAAGTCACCATAATCATCAGGATGTGTGGACTGTCTCCACTGTGGGGGGACCAAGGCTGACCACATGATGGCTACCTGCACACGCCATCCACCTGCAGCCAGAGGCGGGCTCTCGGGACACCACAGAGCTTCCTTTCCGAGTCAGTCTACTGCAGATGTCAGCAACAGCCTTCGTGGGTGGCTTAGCCTAATTTAGGTCTCTGAGAGTAACCTCAGGGTGGCCTTCCGGGGGCTGCATCAGGACCTCCACATTGCATCAGGCCACGTCCTGGAGGAGGGGACTCGAGGGGCTTGGGGGCCACTCTGGCTGGGTCCTTGTGTCCCTCCCATATCGGTGAGCCTTCTTCCCTCATAGCTGAACACCTGCACTGTGACTGTCCTGACAGTCCTGAGCAGGTTCCATCCAGGAAGTTTTCTGCTGCTTCTCAAAAGTGACACTTACTTGATGCCACCATGCTCCTTTCAAGAAAACAGGCTGCTCTTAGATCATCTGCTTTCCGTGCTGGTTCCAGATCACAGCTGTGTCCCCATAGCCATCACTCTGGATCCTGAGTCCTGTCTGTGCTTGAACCTCAGTAATCGCAGGAGTGGATGCCACCAGAGCCAGCATATGGCCACAGAGCGCTGGTTTCACACTCTGTGCCCAGGTGGGCTCTCAGGAGCACCCCGAGTTTCTGGAGCACCACTGCTGTGGTCTGCATACCCCCCACACTCAGGTTGGGGTGCAACGGCCTTGGGTGGTGCTGACAGGTGGGACCTCTAGGAGGAGGCCACATGGGCTCCACCCTCATGAGCAGAGGGAGGAACTGTCTGTTGTCTCAGGGCTCCTGATAAAAGGAGGTTTGGCTGGATTTCCCTCTCGGCCACTGCCTGCCCTCTCGCCTCATATGGCGCAGCTCAGAGATACTTGCCAGACTCTAGAGTCATGTTCTTAGACTTCTCAGCCTCGAGGACTGTAACGGCTGCAGAAAATGGACTAAGACAATTATACCACTGAGGATGGGCTTGTCAGGCACAGCGGTGTCCAATGCAGTGTATGTCATCTTACAACAAACACCCCAGGGAGCTTCCCTAACCAGATATGGCATCTGAAGTCCCTTTATTCCCCTATACCCACAGGATCTCAGATAAACCCAGGCATTTACTGTAATGGGATTGGAAAACATAAGCACAGGCCATGACCGTCACCGTGTGCCTTACACATAAAAGGTGACATCCTGACTCTCAGTGTAATATCCAGGCATTAATCAACTTACATCTGCTCCTTAGACATGAGGCGAGAGGGTTTTCTTTCTTTCTTTCTTATGAAGATATTTTTTTAGTTGTGGATGGACACCATACCTTTATTCTATTTGTTTTTATTTTTATGTGGTGCCGGGGATCGAACCCAGTGTCTCATGCATGCTAGGCAAGCACTCCACCACTGAGCTCCAGCCCCAGCCCAAGAAAGGGTTTTCTTAATCAGCCCTAGATTGATTTTTCTGACTGGAGGTTTCCTTCCTATAAAATAAGGGTGATAGACATCTCCAGATTTCAGAAGACATCTGCCATCTTTGAAACATAAAATAGTCAATTTGCTTTCAAAGACAGAATTTCATCCTGGTAGAAAATTACAGCTCCCTGACTGTGGATGTTCACCCACCCATCCCCCATCAGCTCTTAGCTCTGTGATGATGGACTGCCCGAGCCACAGCCCAGGGCAGGGACTGTGCTCTGTGGTGGTGCACTTGACTAGCGAGCGAGAGTCCCTGGGTTCCATCCCTAGCACACGCACACACAAAGCTACAGGACAGCAGATGTTGAAAAGAATCAGTAGTCTGGGAACAACTGTGGAATTTTACCATCCATTTCAGAGTAAAAGAGGTGATTAAAACAGCCCAAGTTAGCACATAATCCTGTTAGTTGCACTATAATTACAAGCTTCAGGGATGGGAGAGAATGTTGCAATTACTATAGTCACATTCCATGACAAGACAGATGACATAATTACTACTCTTACTGTGACAACCTCTGCATTTTGCATTTAAAGTAGAGAAACCACACCTATTTCTCAGCAGTCTGGGTCTGTTGAACAATAGTACTTGAAATCAACTAGAAGCATCTTTGTTGGCTTTGCCTATTCCTCCCTCTACCCCCAGAAAACAAAGCAGGATCCTCGTTAAGGGCACAGGTGGGTTGTAGCCAGCTCCAGGCATGGATCTTCTACAAGGTCAAAGTTGATGTACCCTCCACGGGGAGTCCTGCTAGCCTCGGGGTATCCCTAGGACATTAGAGTGTGTACCTTGCCTCTAAATTTGAACAGCAGATGTTAAACAGAATCAGGGTGAGTTCTTTTTCTTTTTGGTACTGGGGATTGAATCCAGGAGTGCTTAACCACTGAGCCACATCCACAGCCCTTTTTTGTATTTTATTTAGAGACAGGGTCTCACTGAGTTTCTAAGTGCCTCACTGAGTTGCTGAGACTGGCTTTGAACTCATGGTCCTCCTGCCTCTGCTTCCCAAGCTGCTGGGATTACAGGTGTGCACCACTATACCTGGCACAGAGTGAGTTCTTAAGATTGTTCTTTTCTTCTTTTCACATTGGAAAGTATTTAAGACTAATGCCACTTCCTAAAGGAATCTCTCTTTTAAAAAAACCAAAAAACAAAAAACGCATATTCAGTAAGTCCTCCTACAGACCCCTAAGGGCAATCTCTAGATGCTTCCATATTATGGCTTTCAGTGGCTCCACTGTAGGGGATTCCCAGTCATTGTTAGATGGCCTTAGCAGGAGGGGCTTCTGCCCACCCAGCCAGTCCTACCCTATGCCACATGTAGCATTT